TTTAAATTATTAAAAAAACTCAAGTTCTCAATAAATTTATAAAAAGATTAATTTTAAAACTAGTCTCAACATCAATTATAAAACTACTTGCTATTTAACCTACTCTCTAGGATTGTAAATGTTTTTTCAAAAAACAATATTGGGTGTATAAGCTATTTCAAAGTGTAATTTTTACATAAAAAAGTTCAAAGTTAAAATAAAAATGGTTTATGCAAATATCTAATTAAATAAATCAATAATTATCAATATAAATAAACAAAAAAATATCAACAATAACTAAAAGAAAAATTGCTGAAATTAAAATATGAATATATATCAAAATATTTAATAACATAAAATAAAATATTTATCCGGTTGTGTTTATTGAACTTATTTATTTAAATAAATAAATAATAATAGAAATAGAAACACAAATAAAACTGATTGAATAAACTCATGTCCTAAAAAATATTATGCTAGACCGAATATACAAGAAAAATTATTAAAAAATAAAATTTGAAAAATAAAGCTCATTTGTATAAAACAAAAAAAATCAAATAATATCTTTAAAAATCAAATACAAACAAAATAGTTTTTTTAGAAAAAAAACTTATATTAAAAAAAACCAGAAAACTTGTGATTCAAGTAATAAGAATAGGATAAGCTTATAAAAAATAAATTTTTTTTTAGAATGACAAGATGTCTAATGACATTAACTTTAGATATTAACTTTTTAAACATGTAGTCCAGGTAATTAACTAGATCAAAATCACTACAAATAGAAAACAAATAAAGTTCAATCCCTAACAAATCAAATGTCGGTGATGAAACTAGAAAAAAAAATTAATTACACAAAAAAATATAATTAAGAGAATAAGGGTGAAGATAAAAAAAAAAATAGAGCACAAACAAAAACTTTCAATTGCAGTGTTAAATTGAAATGAAAAATTACTTTAACAAATATAATTAAGAGAATAAGGGTGAAGATAAAAAAAAAAATAGAGCACAAACAAAAACTTTCAATTGCAGTGTTAAATTGAAATGAAAAATTACTTTAACAGAATGAAAAACACATAAAAAAAATAAGGATCAAATTAAAAAAAAAAAACATAAACTTTGATTGAATGATAAAATTGAAAACCAATAAACCTTTAATAAATGGAACAAGAAGAAAAAAAAAAGAATCAAAACGAAAAAAAAATTAGAAATTATAATTAAAGTACTAAATTGAAAACAAATTTTTTTTCTTCTAAAAAGGATAAGAATGAAAATAAGAAATAAAAAAAATAAGAACTGAAATTGAAATAACAAAAACAAAAATGAAAATCATGTACTTTTCCTAGCAGGAAAGAGAAAAGAAGCAAAAAAAAACGATCACCGGCTACAAATCGCTATCATATACTATCATGCGTTACACCATGAGGAATAAAATGTGGTGATGCTTCCAATAACACAATAAAAATGCATGTTTGTTCACAGGGTGACGTCTCGTGTGCCGCCCAAAAAGCATTGACGTCACCCCATACACTAATGTATAATAAACATAACTCAGCAGCATTTTAAAATGAAAAAAAATCTAAATCTAAATAAATATACCAAAATACGCCTCATTACTTTAGAAATTAGGAATAAACTCATGTGAAATGACAAAAACATCTCTAAATAAAAAGGTTATTTTTTATCTTTTCTAAGAACAAACACATATTTCTAATGTATTATATAAGGGCGAAACAAAAAAAATTCTTATTCAACAACTCAATTTTTTTTTTTACCTTGCAGGTAAATATTTTTACTATTTTAAAGTATTTAGAAAGACTAAAAACCCCATGGCCAACAATTCTAATTTTTCTTGACTCCAAGGGTAGTAATGTAATTTAAGTGTAAAAAAATTAAAAAAAACTAAGATACTCTTGAATAATATTTTAATGACAAATGGAACTCTAGAAAAAACCAAACCACCCTTATCACAAAACCTCCCATTTTTTTCCATCCAATAGCAAAATGATAATTTCAATGTAAAAACAATGTTAAAGTTATGCAAGCATTTACAAAAAAGAAAGAAAGTTTGAGACTCATGTTATTGTTTTAATTGTATTTAATAAACTTGGATAATTTAAATAAATTGAATAAAAAAATAAATTGATAATAAATAAATTGATAAAAACTTCACAATGAAAAAAAATGTTCAATTTGAGACCCTAATCATTGATTTGACTAGATTCAATAAACTTGGTTGATGGAATAATATGATTAAAAAATCATCAATAATAAATCAATGATTTATTTTTGTAATAATAATTAACTATAAAAATGAGTTGCCAATATAATAATTAAGAGGAGAATAAAAAAAAAACACGTTGAAAACTAATCATTGCCTTATTGTGAACATTCCTTTACCACCAAAAAGAGCTAATCAAAATGGTTTTAATGCTACAATGAAATTAAAAGGTTGTATTGTGATACCAAAAAAGGCTACACGCATCTTAAGAGAAATGACTTAGAAAGTAAATCAAATATAAAATCATGAAGTGAGCATCACATGCTTATATTTAATTAACCGTGGTCAATTCCAAACCTAGTGAAAATTCCTATAGAAAGAAAATAAAAAAAAATAATGAAGTCTAATCTCTAATTAAATAAATGTTGATGGATGAAACTTAAAAATGCATGAGCTTAAAAAATGAAAAAAAAAAAGAGAGCAGATTTAGGAGAATCTCTTAAATTTGAGTTAATATCTTAAACTCACAACTCGTAAAATCCTTGATCTAGGCTCAATCAATAAGATCAATTCCTAACCAATTTAATGTTGAAGAATAAAATTGAAACAAAAATCAATTTAAAAAGTTTATCATAGCTGAAAAAATAACAATAAAAAAAATTAACATAGGAGAAAAAATGAAATATGAAATCATAAAAAAAATTCAATTTAAAAAACCATCTAAAATAAAATAAATAACAATAAAAAAAATAAGAAATAAATCTAATAAATAAAAAAAAAATTAAAGAAGGATGAAATTGAAAAAAAATCAAATTCTATAAATTAATTTAAATAAAATAAATAGTAATTAAAAGAACATGGACCAAATCAGAAGGAAAAAAAAATTAAAGGGTTGCTTTAAAAGTTTGGAGGGTGAAGTATAAAAATCTAGGAGAAAAAAGAAAAAGAAAAGGGAAATAAGGCTACAGGAGCTAATTTAGAGGTCCATTGGTCATACTTGTCCCATAAGCAATCGTTTGATTGCCAAACACCACCGTCTACAGCATATGACAATCACTTTGTTTTATGAGTATTATTATTTATTAAATGATTAAATTACTTTGAAACTATCAACTTGATTATAACAAAAAACCATGAAAATATAAAAAAGCTCATGAATGTTAGTCAAAGACTTTTTTTTCCTAGAAAGGCATTTTAATTAAGAAAAGAAACATATACATTTGTTTTAATAAAAGCAAAGGCACAAAATAACAAAGAGAACATATTATTGCCATATATAGTATATTGTGACATGACACAAAGCAAAATATCTCTTTGAAATTGTAGTGAATGGTATTTTTAAAAAAGTGATTTTTACTAGAAAATAAATTACATTAAAATCACATAATATTTTGATATGTTAGCTAATTTAATTTTTTTTTAAATTTATTTTTTTATTTTTAATATCAATATATCAAAATCATCAAAGAAATACTATAAAAAATTTCGAAAAAATATTTTTAAAAAGCATATAAAAACAAAGCCATTACACTCCCAAAAATATTTTTAAATATTTATTTATTTATTTTTGTTAATGGTAATTGGTATTGTCAATTTAAGTTAAAATGTTTTATTATTTTTTGATTATTTTGATATGATAATGTTAAAAATAAATTATAAAATAAAAAAATATTAAATGCAATATATTTTCAAAATGTTTTTGAAAACAATTGCTATCATGGGTAAAATTAGATAATTATGATAGCTTATGCTTTTATGATAGATCAAAGTTAAAATAACATATTTTTTATTTATAAAAATTTAATTTTTATTTATTTTATATATAAAAAAAATCTAACTAAACATATTTTTTTTAAATCAATTTTTATAAAACTATGTTATAAAAATAGAGGACCATTAGAAATGCTAGGGCAAGTTTACCAACCATAGAGGCCTGTAAGCAATTTGGACTTCTAGTCCTTTTTCTTAAGCTTAAAGGCGTGTAGATGATGCTCAGCTCCAAGTTGAGGTAGGAGCTTAACCAAGTATAAAATATATATATTGCATTTCCTTCAACTCTACAAGGCCTTTGCTTAATGCATTGGAAGTAATAATAATTAATTTTTAAAATATTTTTTATTTAAAATAATATTTTTTATTTTTTAAAAATTATTTTTTAACAAACTATCTACAAATATAAAAAAAATATTAATTTAAAATAAAAAAATATTTTTTTATTTTTTTAAAAAATAATTTTGAAACACAAAAATAAACAATAACCAAAAAAAAATTACAATTAAATTATAGTTATTATATAATCTAATTTGATTCAAAATTCTTTTTATAATTTACCATGAATCTTAAAATAATATTATTTTAATTTTTTTAAACAATATTATTTTATAAAAATAAATAAATAAAATTCTCGAAACAGATAGGGTTGTATCTCAGCTAAGTCATATAAGTTCAATCAAATTAAATATATTCAAGATTTATATATCTTTAAATCACTAAAACTCGGCCTGAACGAAACTCCAAACCCTTAAATTACCAAGTTAATCATTCAGGTGTACTAATTGCCGTTCGATAGAGCGATTAGACGGCATTTAGATGTACAAATCAAATAAACTAAATCAAACAAGTATGATCAAATTAAACATATTCAGGAAGATCCATCTTCAAATTCGGCCTGAACGAAAACTCCAAACCCATGAATTACCAATTTAATCCGGTTCTAACGTAACCTTTAGTTAGTGATCATAATTCGGTTGTACTAATTGCCGTTTGGTAGAGCGATTATACTGCTTTCGAAAATACTTTCAACTTGAAGCAGAAAGTTTACGATCCATCTAGATCTAGTAATAGTATTTCAAAGTCAAATACAACGAAAAAAATATAAATATAAACAGGTACTATACTGTACGCATACGTATGTTAAATACTCTATATTAACAGGAAATGCTGCTGCGCTTCTTTAGCTCGACAACGATCACAGTGATGTTATCTTTACTACCCCGAGCCATTGCAAGCTCGGTTAGCACTGCCGCTGCCTCAGCTGCGCGACAACTCTCGCTCACGACTCCCTGTGACTCCCTCCTCCTCATCCGGCCACTTAGACACCTCTTTGTGACCCGGCATGCGAGTTCGTTGGCGATGACATCCCAGAGGCCATCGCTGGCTAGGATGAGGAATTCATCATCTTCGGTTCGTTCAATCACGGTGACATCTGGTTTGGATGATACAAATGGTTTGAGATACTCATCGCCTGCACCAGGATATTAAAGCCTCGTGAGGAAGGATTTATAATAATAATCATAATAAAATCTACAGAGTACAGAAGCAATTAATTTAATAAGCTTTAGACATACCTATGGATCTAGAAGTGGCAAGAACTCCAAGAATCCGGTGTCCATTCCAGTTTATAACCCTTCCACCTGCCGCCTCAACCCTCTCCAACTCATCAGGTCTGTCGGGCTTTGCCAAAAAGAGGTGTCAACAGAATGTTCATTAATTCTTATACATTTATATTTTTACAGTAGCAGTGTAATTTACAGATTCTGATTTCATTTTCCTTTTGAAATTTAATATAGGACCTTGAGTTAAGATAAAAAGGTGACCGTCCCATTTGATTATCATAATATTCTATCATTATCAAATGATTTTTACTAACTAAACAACAAACAGCACCCTAAAGACAAATTTTATTGAACATTACCTTATGATCAACAGACAATGGAGCAGCGACCCCATTTTTACAAATCACAGCTCTGGAGTCCCCACAATTAGCTACCACAACCTCGTCCTTCCCAACCACCGCAACAACCGCCGTGGACCCAATCATCTTATTCTTCACCACCTCCTCATCCATCCTCCTAAAACAATCTTCCATCAACTCCTCCCACTCCACACCACTAACCCCTTTCTTTCCGAGCTTTCTCTCCATTATCTCCTCCACAATAACTCCATGCAACCTCTCTTTACAAGCCTCTGCCACAAGAGCCCCACCATGTCCATCATAAACACCAAAAAAATCATACTTCTTTTCACCTCCATTAAAACTCAAAAACCCCAACTCCACCTTCATTGTATCCTCCATCTCTTTCCTCCTCCCTATAACCGAAGCTGATCCATAAGACGAAACAAAGTCATCTTCCAAAACAACATCATTTCTCAGAGATGTTAACGACAAAGACTCTTCCTTTGACTCATCACAATCGTTAGCTTTTGCACCAAACAATTCTTCTATCTTCTTCGCTTCTTTCTTATCTTCACCCCACAAATTACCACCCTTCCTCTCAGTGCCACCATCCCCGCCGGAGATTGTGACATGGGATTTACTATTTTGACACGTGTACCTCATTCGCCGGATCTTTAATCTTCTACTTGATTCACTTCTCGCTGTAAGCTATCTCAAAAAAATCGCCAAGTTGTCGCAACGGACCACAACACGAACAAAAAAGGGAAACAAATCAGTCTTTCTAGTGTTACCAAAACAATCCCCACGAAAAGCAAAACTCAAAGTCTTGGTGCCGACTACTTCATTTGCATGCATAAAAGAAGAAAGCTTTTTAGTCGTAGACAAAGAAAGGCACTTACACCTAAATATAAACAAGTTAGCAATGGTGATTAACTAAGGGTGAGGCCATTGATATTTTGGGGTCCACTTGGACACTGCCACATGGGATGTTTAAGAG